GACATCACTAGCACCCGGGGAGAGGCTCCATCTATTGGTGGGGAGCATCACCTGTTGGAAAGCGGGTCCAACGTCCCTTATACAAATTGAAATCAGAGTACATCAAGAAACAGTTGTGGAATGTTTCTGCCAGCATTCCTGCCAGCATTGATTACCCTGGGATCCATGGGATTGACTGAGCAGGATACGAAGAGGGAGGGGGAACGTCTTCACCCAGAAAACCAGCGTCAGATACATCGCTATATGCTAGTACCTCCCTCCCCCTAAACCCTGTTGAGTCCATGTTAGGCTGGAAACTGGGTCCAACGTCCCATCAGCGTCAGATACACCGCTATGTACTAGCACCTCCCTTCCCCTAAACCCTATGGAGTCCATGCTAAGTTGGAAACCGGGTCCAACGTCCCATTGCCTGCCTGGGTGTCATGTAGGATGAATGGAAGGAGCCACTTGGGGGCACTAGTGGGGCGTCCTTTCGTACCCTTGCCTGTCCCATCTTCCTAAAATGTCTAAAACATATTTTACATTTATTATGTCAAAAATTATGTCAAGGAGAGAGCATGGGGAGGAAAGGGGTCTGGAAAATTTGAGGGGTGGCGCAGGGGGAATGAGGATTCCACATGGATCCAGTCCTTGAACACTAGTAGCTTATAATCCCTTATGTCTTCCAAATCTTGTGATCCATCATCCCTATCCCCTCCCCAAGTGACCTTTGCTACCCATCCTTCCCTTTCGCTGCCTAGCCAATCCTTACAAAACATTGTAATCACTCTCCTAATGTCGGTGGTGTGTGTGAAGAGATCTAGTTGTGATTTTGTGCATGCCCATTTTGTTAAGAGTGTTAGTTGTATTTGTTGCTGAATTTGTTCTATGATTTCCACCCCTTCTATCCTTACCTCTTCCGGAGCGAGAACGCACCTCTGCCACCAGAGAGCCCACATCACCACCCGTCTACCCAGCCAGAACATGTTCTCTATGAAGGCCGAGCCGTTTCCTCCCAATGGTCAGTGACCTACCAAAATGATCTGCCATGACCATGGACAGGGGATTGCAGTCACCATCTTTCGCCAGACCCGGTCCCACCACCGCCACATAAGCTGGGCTATTGGACATTGCATGAAAATATGCTCAATAGTCTCTGTCCGCTTGTGAGGGGGAAACATATGTAGACATTTTTGATACCATGGTAGCGCCAGTCCCTGCTGCTCAAGATTAGTATGGTCTATTAACCAGTCGTTTGTGGGTAGGCAGCGGTGTGCTATCTGCCATTGTAGGGAGGAGATTTTCATTGGCTTAGATTTTTTGTCTCTAAACCAACGTATTGGCAACAGGAGGCACGTGTCCGAGGCCCGACGCGCCCGTTCCGTTTTTCAAAATTCAACGGGACACCCCCGTTTTTGTGTTAAACGCGATTCAACGGGGGTCCTCGGGCCTGTTGAACGGGTTCAACGACGTTCAATTTTGTCCGTTCTCCGTTCATCGGACACACAGTTGGTCGCTACCCAGTCTCCTTCCTTAAAGGATGACCCATGTTTGAGGATTTGGTACCATGCCAGCGGAACAGTCTCAATCAGATCGTCTAAGTGCTCTTCCACATGGTGGCAATACCTCAAAGTTTCTCGTAGTTGTGTTGCTGCCTTCCAATCTTGTCTTTCCTTGTCCCACAGATCCCCTCTCCTGAGCACATTGTGCTTGACCCAACTTTTCCATGGCGAGGCTGAGCTTGTCTTGACATAGCCCTGTTTATCTGTCAACCATCGGTTCCGAAACAAAGGTTGTCGATACAGCTCTTCCCAATGGTCCTGGGGGTTTCTGTTAGGGAGCGGAAGCCTCCTCCTAGCGGACAATAAGGACGGCCAAAAGGTGTCCCCCTTCTGGTCCTCCCCTTCCAAAACTCCATCTTTCCTTGGGATTTTGCGCGGGATTGTCCAAAAACGGTCCTCTAACCAGGTCAGTGGGTGTACCCCTTGTGGGGCAGCTGGGGCAAGACGAGCTAGATGTTCGAGGGTCATTATGCACCACGAACTGTGGGGAGTGAAGATCAATTTTTTCACCGACTGCAATCGTAATGCCTGAACCTGCGTGGTGGGGTCTATATAATCGCCAGACCCCCCCCGAGTTTTGGGTTGGATAATTGAGTCTCACGCTACCCTGCATATGACCTTACTGTTCTCACTATCCCCCCTCCGTAGAAAAGTTATTGCCTTTCTCCTAAGTGTTCGCGACGCCCCCTTACTTAGTGGCCAGAGTACCGACTTGTACCACAAGGCTGCAAAGACAACATTATTGATAATGAGTGCTCGGCCAAAAAGAGAGGTATGCCTATTGTTCCAGTTACAAAGTTCTGGCACGGTGGGAGAACTTATCCATTCGTCATTGGTTGGTGGGCATCCCACTGCTGTCATGGATACCCCTAGGATTCTAAGCGGAGCGTCCAATGGGCTCCAATGAGCTTGTGGTGAATCTGGGGGATGTCCCCCTTGATAGTGTATCCACCATCCCTGCGTCTTGCTCCCCCAGTTCACCGTCATGTCGGAGATCATTGCGAACTTTTCCATCATTTTTTGGATTTCCTTTAGGTTGTTGTGAGTGGCCTCTACCATGATTGTGATGTCATCTGCGAACAAGGAACAAATAGGGATGACCTCCTCCGGTATTGTGCAATTCGAATTTTGGTAATATTCTTGTGAACCCGCAGATTGGAGGTCAATGCTTCCATGATAATTAGGAACAAAAATTGTGCGATCGGGTTACCCTGGCGGACCGACCGTTCTAACTTTAGGGGAGGCGGCAGACTCTCATTGACTTGGATACATGTGGTCGCGTTATGATGAAGAATTCAAACCCATCACCTAAAAATTGATCCGAAGTTCATCTTTTCTAAGATCTTGTCCAGGAAGTGTCAATCGACGTGATCATAAGCTTTTTCAAAATCAATGAAAACCAAGGCCGCATTCTCGCGGGAATTCCGGGTCGGCTGCAACACCTCATGCACTAGGAGGATGTTTTCTTGTATATTTCTGTTCTGCATAAACCCGGTTTGAGACAGGTGAATAATTTCCTGAAAAGCCGGGATCATAGCTAAGGCTTTCGACAACATTTTATGGATTACCGTGAGAAGGATGATGAGCCGATAGTTGCGGATGTCCATTTTGTCCCCTTTTTTGTAGAGTAGGGTCAACACCCCTTGTCCCACCCTCTCGCCCATTTCCTCAGTCCGCCATACTTCCTGATAGAAACCCATCACATCCTGACTAAGGAAATCCCAGGTGGATTCCCAAAACTCTCTCGGGAAGCCATCTATGCCTGAGGATTTGTCTTCCTGCATTTGCAAGAGGGCCGCCCATGTCTCCTGTTTGGAGAGCGGCTTGTCGAGAGACTCTCGCTGTTTAGGTGACAACACCTTTTCTATGGGGTCCAAAAACTCTGCAATTTGCCTATTTTGCGCCATTTCGTCAGAGGTGTTAATGTGTGAAGAAAACAATTCTTTGTAGAAATCGCGAGCAATTTTAGTGCAGCTAGCTGTGGTCATGGCTGGTTCCACCTCCCTTGCTTCCGGGTCATAAAGAGCCTCTATTGTGGTCCGCTTAATCCGCACATTGGCCAGTTCAAAAAAACGAGTGTCCATGGTTCCTTCCGTTGAGAATTTTGTTAGCCTTGCCCGTAAGTTAGCTCCCTGCCATCGGTATCGAGCAAAATTCAGGAGTTGATCTTTTAGCGCTTTTAGTTCTTGCTTCGCAGTCATCTGTTCCGGTCCGTGCGAATTTTCCTGCTGCTCTAGTTCCACGAGGTCTCGCATTATCAAAATTTCATGTTGATGCCGTTGAGCGCCCAAGCGCTTAGAGAATTCGTTAGTTTTCCTTGCCAGGAAAGACAGTCCGTTATTGAACCATGCAATTTGGGAGTCGTGTCGCTGGCGGCCCTCCTTCCAATACTCCCAAATTTGTCGTTGGTAGTCTTGAAAGGATTTAAGCCTAAGCAGAGAAGTGTTGAACTTGTAATAACTTGCCCTTTGATCCGGGCGTTTACGGAAAGTCCAAACAGCCATACACATCCAATGGTCCAGACCGGGGTATGGGCTCAATGGTAGGATAGCGGCTGCTGTCAACCCACCCAGAAGGTCCTCTGAGGCCAAGATCAAGTCAATCCGGGACTTGGAGAACCTACCTGGGTCGTTACTCCTAATGCAGGTAAAGGTTCTCTCAGTGGGGTAGCTGCATCTGTAGGTATAGAAAAGTTGAAGGGAGGAGTGTTTCATGATACTGTTTTTTATCTTTTGGCTGGCAGCATTAGTGGAACCGCCAGCACTACATTTCTACCCCTCTTTTGGCTGGCGCCGCCAGCCATGGTGGTGCGTCAAGGGCCTGAGGCCGATGTACGGGCCAAGCACTGGGTTTACCATGGTTTGCGAAAAGACATGACATGGGTGTACCGTTGAGCCACATGAGCTGGTTTATATATGTCCTTATCCACTTGGGTTGATGGGGTGGCAATCGGCTACAGACCTCGTGGCGAGGTCCCACTTGCGGGAAGAACACATCCCGGAATGTGCGAAATAGAGCATGTATTTCCCTGCAAACATGGAAAGATTCACCCATTATACGTTTTGTCCTTTTCACATTTCTGGAGTCGTGTGCAGATGCAGTCCGTAGATGGAAGTGTGACCTCGCCCCGCGATAGATGTATCCGAAAAAGCGAAAAAGGAAAGGGAAAAAAAAGGAGAAGAGGGAAAACCCGCGTCGCGCGCCAAGGGGCGTGCCAAGGATGCGGTCCATCCATTCGATTGCCGCGAGCGGTGGGGCTTTCCTTGGCCTTCGCTCCACTGCTCTCCAAATGTGCAAAATGAGACTGAACCCTTCGGTAGAACATGGAAAGATTCATTGCGATTTTGTTTTTTGTCTTTTGTGCATGTGGAGAGTAGAGGAGCGAGGCCTTGGAAAATTTTCGAGCGCGCCAGTTTTTTGGGTCTATCAGGATTCCTTGAGTCGGCTTATGACGGAGAAGGCGACAAGGAGGACGGAGAGGCGGAAAAGGTGGTGGTGGTGGTCCGTGAGGGAGGGACAGGAGTTGGTGACCATAGCCGCACTGGGAAGAGGAGCACGTCGTGCAACGTGGCGCCACGTGGCACAACGTGGGGCAAAGGGGAGTGGCGTCACCTTGTCTACCTTGTAGGCAGAGAGGAGGGGCTTGGCGCGCAGTGGCCTAGCAAGCAACTGCTATGGCGGCGGGCGCGGCCACGGCCATGGCTGCTGCGGCGGCGGCGGCGGCGCCAGCTTGCGTCGGCGGTGCCATCCGCGCCGTCACTGCCTCGTCTTCGTCGTCTTCCTTCTCCTCTTCTACCTCACGTCTGCTGCCAGCTGGAAAATGCGCGGGAAATAGAAGATGCTCACTGCTCTTTCCCATCTGGAAAAGCGCGGGAAATAGAAAGTGCTCCTCTTGCCAAGGTACGTACTCGCGGATCGACCTGTGTCCTGTAATAGGTGTTTTTTTTTTTTTTTTTTGTTGTTGTTGGATGACTTGTCGAGCTTTCTTTCCCTTCCTCCTTTCATCGTTTCCTGACTTGAACGGGGCGGCATTAAAAAAAAACAAAAAAAAACAAAGAAGAAGAAAAAAAAAAACAAGAAAAAAAAAAACCTCCCTTTTTCGGTAGATAGGTTGGGATTACTACAAAAAAAGAGGAAAATCACCGACCAATCATTGTACTAATCGCACCCTATCTTCGGAAAAGGGAGTGTGTGTGTGTGTGTGTGTGTGTGTGTGTGTGTGTGTGTGTGTGTGTGTGTGTGTTTAATGCCACCAATAATTGTAGTGATCGCAACCTATCTTCGGAAAAGGGAGTGTTTTTTTTTTTTTTTTTTTTTAATGCCGCCCCGTTCCAGTCAGGGTGTGCTATCTAGCATCTACCAGGCAGTGACGTGTCGCAGTCTCGGTCCTTGACGAGGTAGTGACGTGTGGCGCTCTCCGTCGGTGTCAAGAGTGCGACACGAGAGTGATCAGAGTGCGACTCTCGTTGACGTACGTGGCAGTGACGTGTCCCACTCTCGGTGAAGAGACAGTGGGCCTCGCTCCACGACTGACGACATGCAGAAAAGAGGAAAAATATGGCGGTGCATCTGCCCATGTTCTAGCGGAAGATTCATTCTCAATTTGCGCGTTTCGTGAGTAGTGGAGCGCTGCCGAGTGACCTGTTGCCGCCCTCTTTTTTTTTTTTTTTTTTTTTTTTTTTTTTT